GCTGCCATCACTGAATCAGACAAGTTCTTCATCAATGGCTCCAACTGGGAGGGCATCCTGGGGCTGGCCTACGCTGAGATCGCCAGGGTGAGAGGAACAAGGGCTAGCCCTAGACACTCTGCCTGAACGTTGCACACTGCATGCTACACAGGGACGGAGTTACGGGAGAGAAGGGGAGGGAACTGAATAAGGGAGGGAAACAAATCAGTTTAAAGAATGACTTTACAGGCGGATAGGGTGGCAGTCTGAATTTCATCCCTACAGAGGGCAGAGCTATGGTGACAGGTAGAGGAACAGGCTATCTTTTCTATTGACGCTAAGATCTTTAAGAATAAGAGAGGCCCCCGTAACTCTGAAACAGGTTAAGCAGATGGGGATCAACGATCCTACAGATCTTTCCTGTTTGCATTGCCAGTGTGTCTTGCTGTCCCTCTCTCCACCAAATCTCAGTACCTCAGGATGGTCTTTCCCAAGGAACATCCCCCAAGTTTTGCTTTTGCCCTCCCATTCCTCTCTCCATTAGGGCCCTCTGTGCGAGGATTCACTCCTTGTCTCTCTCTGTCACAGCCTGACGACTCCCTGGAGCCATTCTTTGACTCGTTGGTAAAGCAGACCCACGTGCCCAATCTCTTCTCCCTGCAGCTCTGTGGTGCTGGCTTCCCCCTCAACCAGTCGGAGGTGCTGGCCTCAGTTGGAGGGAGCATGGTGAGTAGGCCCTAGGAGAGGGGAGGCCCGGGCACTGGGCAGAGACGTGAGCACCTACTGCCTCCCTACCCTCTGAGGCCACACCACAGCCTCGGGCTCCACTACTGAGAATCAAGAGAAACCTCTTCATGTTCCCCACCTCCATTTTTCTTTTTCTACCCTTTTCTTCCCTGCACTATTCCAGAAGGGACTTGAGGCCCCTATGGTAAACTTGGAAAGGATGACAGATAATTAGGAAGATTTCAAAGGAAATGAAGATAAGGCCTCTCAAGTCAAGACTGTTCAGTCTGATGACGAGAAGGCAGAGATGTAAGGAGTTTAAAAGTCTATTTATTAATTCATTTAGGACAACGGGTGAACTCTATCTCCAACAAGCAGAGAAAATAAAACTTACAACAGAAGCAAATTATCATTCACTCAACATTTATTACGCCAGTTGAGGTTTAAATAACTTTATATCAAGGGCTGTGTGATTCTGAAACAATTAAAAATCCTGGAAAGCCTTTTCCCCTGAACACATCCTTAACACATTTAAGAAAGTATCCATCGCTTTAGGGCGTGGCTTGATTAGGAGCAGGAAGATGAGGAAGGTGATGTGCAGAGCGCCTTGCCACCCCAGAAATGACTGCTCCTATGCTTGCCCTCTGGGTGACTTGTTGTCCTTCTGTGTTGGCACACGGGTACTGGCTCTTTTGCTCCCTAGATCATCGGGGGTATCGACCACTCGCTGTACATGGGCAGCCTCTGGTACACACCCATCCGGCGGGAATGGTATTACGAGGTGATCATTGTGCGGGTGGAGATCAATGGACAGGATCTGAAAATGGACTGCAAGGAGGTAATAAAACCTGGGGGAGGCAGGGAGAGGCAAGGGGGAGGCAACATCGCGTGAGGCCAGACCCCGAGTTATGAGGCTGGGAGGATGAGGTTGAGGTGCAGGACCTGCAGGAGGGTTGGGGGCTGAGCCTGGAACAGCAAGGAGCTTAATGGTCACATGGCGGGACCCGAGGTTTGGGGCTAGGGACTGGCTTAGCACTTTCCCAGAGGCTGCGTGGCATATGGTCTGGTACGGAAAAAAGCACATCTGGACTCCGGTCACTGCCTTGCTTTATGACCTTGGGCAAGTCGTCCGCGAGGCAGTGTGACATGACGTAGTAGAAGAGTCTGGCTTTGGAGTAAGAAAGACCTGGGTTTCTAGCTCTGCTCTAGCTATGTGTCCTCAGGCAAGTTACTATTTTGTGTTTCAGTTTCCTCACCTGCAAAACAGAAGTAAAATCAGCTTTTCCAAAGACGGTGGTGAAAATAGAGAAAGTGAATAAAGTGTTTATCCCAGTGCTTGACACACAGCAAGACCCAATAATGGCAGTTAAACTATTTGGGTGTTCCTTACCTAGATTCTTCATGTATGTTAAATTAGAACAGATACAAACGTATTATGAAAAGTTAAAAGCATTATACAAGGTATTTTTATTTTCAAGATTTAGAGAATGTCTACCCACCCAAGATAATAAGAGTTAACATTTACTGAATGCTTCCTATGTGCAGGGCGCAATTCTAAGCGCTTCAAATATATTAATTTATTTAACGCTTATAATAACTCTCTGAGGTAGGTACTATTATTATCCTCATTTTACAGATGAGGAAACTGAGGCACAGATGTTAAGTAACTTGCCCAAGGAGATCCACCTAAGAAGCGGCAAAGCCAGGATGCCAACCCAGGAAGGACCCCAAGCAGTCAGCCTCACCCCTCCAATTCTGGCCAAAGCCTGGCGTCAAGAAGGCTTTTGATGTTCTAACCCTCTCTTCTCCCTCTTAGTACAACTATGACAAGAGCATCGTTGACAGTGGCACCACCAACCTTCGTTTGCCCAAGAAAGTGTTTGAAGCTGCTGTCAAATCCATCAAGGCAGCCTCCTCGGTCAGTGGGACTAAGGACAGGGGTACAAGAGATGACAGAGTGTCACAGGAAGTCTGTGAGAGGCACGTTCCTCCACAAGAGCCAAGATGTCTAACCTTAGATCCCTCTACTTAGGTCTCTTAAACAACGGTTCTCTGCTATGGGCCTCAGCTTGCTCAGCACACAGTCCCCCAGCCCAAAGTTTTGGCCTTACTCTCTTGCTCTCTTCCTCTAATCCTTGGGTTTCGGCTGACCTTTCCCCAGTTTGGATATTTCATGGAAGAGCAAGTAAAGGGCCCAGTAGGTGTTATCTGAAAATGGAAGAGGCGAGATGGTGAAAGAGGCCGTTTCCTCATCTTTATCCTTTTCCCATCAACACAGACGGAGAAGTTCCCAGACGGTTTCTGGCTCGGGGAGCAGCTGGTGTGCTGGCAAGCAGGCACCACCCCTTGGAACATTTTCCCGGTCATCTCACTCTACCTAATGGGTGAGGTCACCAATCAGTCCTTCCGAATCACCATCCTTCCACAGGTATGTCCCTGGCCTGAATCAGTGGGATCCCAGGACGAGAACAAAGGATATATTGAGAAAGAGTGAGCAGGCATGGCTTCCTAGAACTTGGAAGACAAAATAGATGAGGATCCAGCGGTAAAGGGCTCTGGGAAAAACCAGCCTCTCGGAGCTCAGGGCTGGCAAAGGGAAGGGCAGCCTAAGGGCATCGATACCAAGAACGCAGAGATGGGGTGAAGGGTGGAGGAAGACATACTCTCACTCTTTGATTGCTTATCCTTAGCAATACCTGCGGCCAGTGGAAGATGTGGCCACGTCCCAAGACGACTGTTACAAGTTCGCCATCTCACAGTCATCCACGGGCACTGTCATGGGAGCCGTTATCATGGAGGGCTTCTACGTTGTCTTTGATCGGGCCCGGAAACGAATTGGCTTTGCTGTCAGTGCTTGCCATGGTGAGAGCGCCAGGGGCGAGGGTGTGGGGTCAGTCTATCCCCGTTCTCCCTGTCCAGTGGTGAGGGTACCCGGGCCCCTGTCAGTCTGGGAGGGAGTAACAGTTGCCTCAAGCCAGAGTCCACGTATTGTGTAAAAGCTAGTGTCGGTGCTTGTGCTTTTTTTTTTTTTTTTGCGGTTCGCGGGCCTCTCACTGTTGTGGCCTTTCCCATTGTGGAGCACAGGCTCCGGACGTGCAGGCTCAGCGGCCACGGCTCACAGGCCCAGCCGCTCCGCGGCATGTGGGATCTTCCCGGACTGGGGCACGAACCCACATCCCCTGCATCGGCAGGCGGACTCTCAACCACTACGCCACCAGGGAAGCCCCGGTGCTTGTGCTTTTTTTGTATCGCCTGGCATGCTGACCCCTGCCTGGACTGGCAACCTCTGTTGGAGACCCAGAACAGCAAGAGCTGCCTCGGCACCTTGGGAAGCTCTAGATCCAAGGGTGGCAGGCTGGGCCTATCGTGACCCTGTCAGCTGCCGTATGCCGAGGTTGAATGCTACTGGCAGGGTCTTGCAGCTGAATTTCAGCAGGAGCAGGTGAGTTTACTAGGTATATGTAGGGCTGGCTTTTTGGTCAACTTAGAATGACTGACTTTTAGGGCCCTGTCCTATTGGACAGGTAGACAGGAAAGGGTTGTTGTCCCCAATGACCTGGGAGGAGAGCCATGCCTCCACCTAGCAACGGCTTTCTGTCCTGCTCCTAAATATCTCCCAGGAGGGAGATTCTACGGCCTCCTCAAGGGCCGGTTTCAAGGCCTGTCCCGGGAAGTTCTTTTGGGTGTGTAATCCAAACTGCTCTGTGACTCACATCTGCCCTTTCTCCAGTGCACGATGAGTTCAGGACAGCAGCGGTAGAAGGTCCTTTTGTCACCCTGGACATGGAAGACTGTGGCTACAACATCCCACAGACAGATGAATCGACCCTCATGACCATAGCCTATGTCATGGCTGCCATCTGCGCCCTATTCATGCTGCCCCTCTGCCTCATGGTGTGTCAGTGGCGCTGCCTCCGCTGCCTGCGCCATCAGCACGATGACTTTGCTGATGACATCTCCCTGCTGAAGTGAGGACGCCCACGGGCAGAAGAGAGAGATCCCCCTGGACCACATCTGGTGGTTCGCTCTGGTCACAAGGAGAAGACACAGATGGCACCTGTGGCCAGAGCACCTCAAGACCCTCACCCACCCACAAATGCCTCTGCCTTGACAGAAAAGGAAAAGCTGGCAAGGTGGGTTGCAGGGACTGCACCTGTAGGAACCAGGAGAGGGAAGAAAGAAGTGCTCTGATGGCGGGAATACCCTTGGTCACCTCAAACTTGAGTTGGGAAATTCTGCTGCTTGAAACTTCAGCCCTGAACCTTTGTCCACCATCCCTTTAGATTCTCCAACACAAAGTATTCTTCTTTTCTTAGTTCCAGAAGTAAGGTGACCCCAGTGTGTGTCTCTGCAGTACCCTAGCAGAGAAAGAGCCAATCTTGTTTCCCTGCTGGCCACAGTCAGCGGGAACGGACGCACCGTTTGCTGTCTGCTTTAGAGATAGGGACTGTATAGACAAGCCTATAACATTGGTGCAAAGACTGCCTCTTGAATTAAAAAATAATTTAAAAATAATTTGTACAAATAATTTGTACAAATGGGGGTGGCTGGACGAGGAGAAGGAGAAGGAGTGCAAAGACAGGGAAGCTGGGATCAAAGCGAGGCAAGGCCAGAACATGACCGCTCGCCAGTCCCAGTTTTAGACGGCATCTCCAAGATAGAATCCCACCTTCTAAGATGGGTGTTGCTTCCCAATGTCTTCTTTTCTGTGGTTGCAGCCTGACCAAAAGTGCGATGGGAAGGAGGGCTTCTCTAGCCAAAAAGCTCTTTTTAACTCTCTTAAAGGAAAAGTGCCCACTAAAACGTTCCATCTAACAAATGAATTTCTACCTTATTAATTCCTTGTCCCTACCTGAACCTTCTACTGTACACGTGACTGGTAGCACTGAAACATCCCCAACCCTGGAAGCCCCAGGTGCCCTATGGGAAAGCAGCCGGAATAGAGCAAATATAACAGGTCTGCACTTTGTCTTCCTGGCTACCTGTTCACCCCCTCCCCCAGTCCTATTTCTCCAGAGCTTTGTAGCTGAGGTGCTAAGAATAGATAGGAAACCTCTCCTATCTAATCCTTGAAAGCAGACTCTTGAAGATTCATTCAACAGGGATAGAGTTGATGCCCTATACCCCCTGCCTGGATTTCTTCCTGTTCAGCTGTAAGTGGTAGTAAGATCTTGACATAATACAGAGCAGTTTCATCGCCTTCTCCCTGTCTCTAAGGTCTCCCTCATTTATTTGGCTAAGGCATCCCACAGTGGCACTAGTATTATACCACGAATGTCAGGAACACAGGGCTTTCTGGCTCCACCAGCATCGCATTCAGTATCAAGGCTGCGTGGAAAAAGGATGACAGCCTCCGGGCTTCCTAATTCCCTTCACCACAAGAGCCCCTTGACGGAGGCCCATCCTGCTTTTTATTCCCCACTCCTAATAGTACTTGGGTACCCAGGCTGGTTCTTGGGCTAGACAGTGGGGACCAAGTTCATTTCCTCCCTATCAGTTCTAAGCCAGTCGACTGTGATACCAGTGTTAATGGGAAGAGCTGAATTTTCTTACTATTCCACTGGATCCTATTCCTCTCTGGTCAACACACTGCTTCCAGGTATGGGACCCGCACAGTGTAGAATTACCTGATGAGGGAGAGGGAAATACAAAGAGGGCCTCTGGAGATCCTGGCCTCGGCCAGCTGCCCACAAGCCATAAACCAATAAAACAAGAATACTGAGTCGCAGTTTTTTATCTGAGTCCTCTTCATTCCCACTGCACCTGGTGCTGCTCTGGCTGACGGGGAACACCCCATAACCACAGAGACTGACAGGAAGACTGGAGACTGTCCATTTCCAGCTTGGAACTTACTGTGTAAATAAACTTCCAGAACCGCTACCGTGAAATGAAAATGCCACATTCCACTTTATAATTTCGACCCACGTTGGGGAAAACTGGTTTTTCCCCAGCTCTTTCCAGGGTATAAAACTCCACCCCTTCCTTAGTAAGTCTCATTGTCCTATTTTTTTCTTTGAAAGAGAAAACTTGTACTTATTTTTCTTTTAACAGTTTCTTCCTTTCTACCCCGAAACCGTGAACTCTGAAGTGTAAAACAAAAATCTAGACAACAGCTTCTTCCTTGTAAAAATATGTATTCTATATTTCTATTTTTAAATTCTATGCCAGAAAAATGACTGTCCCATCTCCACTCCCTGCATCAGGGGCCTTCCCCAGGGGTCTGCACAGCTTGTACCAGTGCAGGCCAGTGAACAGAGGGAAAAGGGAGAACAAGGGTGGCCAAAACTTAACTGTTGCTTTCAGATTGATCCTGAACAAGAAAGAGCAAAGAGCGACGATGAGTCCCGGCCCCCATGCACACCCTCCACCACACTGTCTTCCTGCTGCAGCTGGTTTCCAGGGGCTTTCACTAGGAAGCAGTTAAGCCCCCCATCCCCTCCTGTTTTCTCTTTACTCCTTTGGTGTCAAAGATTTGTAGAAAAGAAACAGGATATTTTTTAGACCCACTTCTTATTTCTATATTTTCATTGGATACTGAAAAATACTGCAAGTGGCCCAAAGGCTGCTGCAAAGTTAAGGGGAGATAAAATCTTAAGATTACAAGATAAAAAATGAATCCCCCCCCCCACCAAATGAAAAGAACAAAGGAACTGGTCTTCCATTTTGCCACATTCCCTGTTCATGATGGCTACCAAACTAGAGTCATTAATATTTCATTAACCAAAGAAAGTGGGTCATCTGACCTCTACAGTGGGGAGTACTCAGGCCATTTCCATCACCCTACAACATGCCAAGGAGATCCAGGAAATCCATTTCCTTACACTGTTGCCAGTCAATAAACCGGGACAAGTAAGACCAGAGAAGAGAAAGAGTATGTTCATGAGCTGATAGGCAAGGATGAAAGACAAGGAAGAGTAACATAAACAGAGAGGAGAGAATTATTTGGCTCTGAAAGGAAAAATCTTTGCTACCCTCATATGTACTACTAGTGCGAGTAAGCATTTCCAGGTCCCAGAATGGGAAAAATTCACCTGTTGGTAATATAATAATATCCTTTCCTGGACCTAATTTTTTTTATTACTGCTTAATTTTTACTTGTTTAATTCCAAAAGAGAAGGGAGCTGAAGCCATTTCCATTAGGAGTAAAGATAAAGCGACAGGAAAGGATTCAAAGCTCTAATAGAAACGCAGCTTTCCCAGGTATAAACCTAGAAACTGGAAGTGCTCAATAAGCAGAGGTGGAAAAATGACCTCGCTCCAGACAGCTACCCATAGAACAAGTGACTTATAAACCTGAAATCTAACCTCCCTTCTTCATAGCACTTTGGTCTCCATTTGTCCCAGGACAGGAAGCATGTCCCCCATAGCTTTCTTGCTTCAAAAATTCAAACCCATATCCCAAGATCATCCTGAAAGGAATTTTGCACAGACATCTCCTCACCCCAGTGCCTGCATGGAACTCACCCAAGGTCACCAAACAACTTGGTTGTGAACCAACTGCCTTAACCTTCAAGGGGAGGGGAGATAGCTAGACTAGAAGACCAGAAGTGAAGGGGAAGCGGTGAGGACTTCACAAGGTTGGTCTGTGAAAGCTTGATCAGAAGCCAAGTCAGTGGTGGAAAGGGATGGCTTGGCCCAGGAAAGACCTGTGGGCTATGCTAGTTTCTAAAGAGATGACTATCCAGGAAGTAGGGTGGACAGAAGTTTGTGGAGGCATGGGGGAAACGGGACCTGGTTATGTTGTTATTCTTGGACTGTGAATTTTGCTGATGTAAACAGACTATTCTGTAAACCTAATGTCTATGTACAAATAATGAGTGTTAACACAGTAAAATGTTCAACGAAAAATCAAACTATCAGGGTTATATATTTTTTCCTCAATCAGTCTCATTTTCTCCATTTGGAGTAGAGGGGCTAGAATAGCACTGAGGCTTCCGGAGGCTTTCAATAAGCAAGGCATCTGGCTGGACAGCAGGTGAGCACCAGGGTTCAAATCGGCGTACATGAGCCTTAAGAAAATGGACTAGAGGCTGAGCCAAATCAGAGCAGGGTGGCCTTAGAGCAAGAGCAGCTTCCTAGATGGTTTTTATATTGCATCTGAAAACAGCCCTAGGCAGGAATATCATAATTTCAAGGCCAAATTAAATACCATCTTACCTACAATCTGCTTCCCCCAGAGGAATTGAAAGGTGAGGGGGACAGACCATTTCTGCATAATATACATACTTTCATTTACGAACATCTGGATACAGACTTTCTATACACACATTACCTGTATAATAAAAATGTACATGGCATGAGTATATGTCACTGTATAAATATAGAGTTTTAGAAATCTTGAACCCGCGCTTCCTGTTCACATCAGTTTCTCCTCTTCTTCCTCCCCAGTCAGGTCCGTCATTTAAGAGTTGGACAAAAGGGACAAGTGTCATTTGTGTTGGTCTGGGCCCAGAATTTGATACACTGGAAAGAAAGAAAGACATACCTCAGGTTCATCAGAAAGACGGAGGGAAGGAGGGGAGAGAGTGCTGTTAAGGTTCAACAGGTCTAAGGGATGTTTACTGAGTCAGAAAAGCTCACTGGGGGACTGGAAGAGCTGCTTCACTGGCTTTTACCACCAGAAGAGTCTTCAGAGCAGGTGAACCTGATCTTGTTTTACAGGGAACATTAACAATCAGCTAACAACAGTGAGAAGCTGCTTTCTGCTGACTGTCTACAGGCTTGCTCCCTCTTGCCATCTATTTAGCCTGAGATGAGCTTCCATCTCCTAATACCCGTTGCCCTCAAATCTTATTCAGGATTTTCCCTTACCAAGAATTTACATATAAATTCAGTTTCTACCTCTTAGAAAAACAAAATGAACAAAACAAAATAGTAAAAAAAAAAAAAAATTCATCCCTGGTGCTAAGAGATTTAACTCTGTCCGGTACCATCATAAAAGACAGGGATAACTTGTCAGTGTGTGAAGCTAATCTCTAATAGGTCAGCCTTCCAACTATTTTATTAATGGAGTTACTAATCTCATATTCAGGTTCCCTATTCCATTCCTCTCATCTAAGCAAAGTCTCTTGGCAATGGTACATCTGAAACAATGGTCAGATATGTATATCTTATTGTCAATTTTCCAAGGCAGCGACTATCGGTGTTCTAGTATGAACTGTTTACCCAGTCTAGTCCCCTACAGGGGATGGGGTAGAAGGAAGCTGGAAGAGCCCAGCTGCCAGTATTCTGAATTCTGCTGATATTTCAGCCACGGTTTACTGAAACCTTATGTTTAGATATTAATGATGAGTGTCAACACTGTACAATGTTCAAGAAAATTAAACTATCTCAGCTGTCAAAAAGAAAGAGTGGAAAAAAGAGGAAGGCATGCAGCACCCACCTCCTTGTGCAGCACATGGGTGCATGCCATTGGGTGCAGCTCACTGGGCTGGACAAGTTTCTGGCACATTAGACACAGTTTACAGGTGGCTGGAGCCTGTACAGCAGAGGAGGGACAGTCAAAAGAGTAAGGAACCTCTGGGCCTCCTTGCCTTATATGCCCATGATTCCATCTACTCTTTCCATGTAGCAAAAAGATTTTACACCAAAAGAAAGAAAAGTTCCAATACAGAGTACCTGCATTTTCCCAGCTGGGGCTGTCGACAACCCAGCTGAGGAGATGATGGCTTCTTCCTGCGCTCCACGTATAAACCCACTCCCTCCTCACCCCCAGCTTCTCCACATCCCAGTTTTCAAAGAATAGAGTCTTACATGTGAAGACCTCCCAGGATATGAAACTTGGGCAGAAGGCAAGAACATTGGGGTACTGATTTGGGCCAATGGAGCAGGGAACAGGGCCCGGATCCGACCAAGGGGCTGTGGGCAGAAACGTTGTCACAGTGAGGGAGGAACATCTGAGAAACAGGGCATTTAACAAAGAGAAGTCATTCATTTCCCAGCGCAGCAAAGGAAGAAAGCAGGCCAGATACCCCTGGCTGCAATGCTTCTTCCCACCCCAAATATTTCTGAAATCTACCTCTTCCCCAACATCTCAGCAGGTCTGAGTTCTCCGCCAAGTAGCTTTTCTTACCTGAGTACTTGCTGCCACCCGCTCGTGCTCTGCCAGTCGCGCAGCTACCAGCTGGATCAGCTCCTCCATGGTCAGGCCCGCCATGGTGGTGCGTGCTGTCTTGATCTGCTGAAGGATGTTGGTCATCTGGGCCCTAAGGAAGAAAAGTGTTGAGGGGGAGAGATTCTAGACTACACTCATGAGGAGTATCTATGAAACCTCTCCTACTTTAACCCATAAACATTTCTCTGAAAAACACTTTTAAAATTAATCCTTAAAGATACTTACTTATTGCATTGTGGAAACCGAGTCAGCAGCTTCTCCAGAATCTTCTCCAGTTTGTCTACTGGTTGGGGCCGGGTAGTTTCAGTAGAAGCCTTAACACCACCCAAGCCTGGGGGAGGTGGGATGGAGGCGGCAGGGGGCACGTGTGGACCATGGGGGCCGACAAGGGAACCCAAGCCAGGGCTATTTCTCCCATGGGAGCCAGGAAGGGGTGGGGAAGGCTGGTTGGGCTGGGAAAGGGCAGAGTTCAGGATCGGGAAAGACAAGGAACGGGGATCTGCACTGGGCATAACCATGGGCATTGTGACCTGCCCAATGGAGAAAGGCATCCGAGGAGCCAGAGAGGGACTGGGTTGAAACACCTGAAGCATGAAGTCTGTCTGCAGAGGGGACGAGGTGGAAGACAAGTGGGAGAGAAAGAAAATGAAAGTTTAGGAGACTGGAGCAGAAATCAGTGAGCAACTGTTTCTTGTACCAAATAAGGATGGTCCCGATATCTTCATAAAAAGAACAAGTGAAAGACTCTAGGCTCTGCCACCAACACACAAAGGTAGACTCCCCAAAGCCAGCGCTCTTACCTCTGATGGGGGTGGAGGCAAAGTGGGAGTCGGGATCTGAGGAAGGCTGCTCAGCTTGGCTCCATTCCTCACTAGCTGGATATGACTATTAAATTGGTCCTAGAAAAGAGAGAAAAGCAAGAATTATCCTTTACTGCTAAGCAGAATGAGCCTGCCTAAAAAGAGAGCACCATCCTATATCAGGAAAGCAAGAGGAGTAGTAGGACAGGCCCTAAGGGCAATGCAAAAGGTCCTTCCCTATCGCCAGAAGTGTTTAAGCACAGATTAACTCTGACTCAATGATCACGCATCACTACACTTACCCGAACATTCTTTTTCATTATCCGAACTCCATTCAGTCTTGTCTCCCACTCCTGTTTGGAACGAACTGTCTCTAATGTTGGGGGAGTTGACCTTTCAAGAAACCAACAGTAATTTACAGAATTAAAGAAAACCCAATTCCTAACTCTCTGAGATAGCAGAACAGTAGCTGGCTAATGGGCCTGGAAAGAAGAGGTCGGAGCATGTGCAGGAGAAGGTCAAGGTTCTAAGCCGTTTGCCTCACTTTAACTCCAGCATCTTGCAAAACAAGTATTGGAGAAAGCGGACCAACCACAGAGAGAGGGCTCTTGTCTGGCTGAAAATGCCACGGGGGTCCTCCAAATTTCACGGCAGAAAGAGGAGAAATGACTGTATAAGAAACAAATCTCCGAAGACATTTGTTATGCTTGACAGCATAAGAGATACTGTTTATCCAATTGGAAATAATACAATAAAAAGTACAAAACTATAAGACTGTAGAAAGGGAAGAGTCAGAGAGTGAGGAAGTTTAGAGTATGGGAAGAGAAATCACTGAACAAATCACTATCACACAGAGATGACTCCCCGTGAAGACAGAATAAGTGCCAGACTAGCTGGCCCAGGGTTTCAAAACCTAAAAAGAAATGCCTCCAAAACACAAAACTGCAGGGCCATTAAGACCCTAGAAATGGAAGGTACTTACTTGAGGTAAGTAAGGTGCAGTTCTGCCTCTTTTTCTGCTTCTTCTAGTTTCAATACCAACAACTCTTTCCGACTCTCTAGTGATAAGATCTAAGGAAACCATACACACACATACACACAAACACACACACACACACTTTATTAATTTTACATACACAAAGCTACCCTTAGATAGTTAAAACAATGCTTAGTGGCTCTACGGTATAATACTTAAATAGCTTAGTGTACAGTATTGATGCTATACCAAAAGTACACACCATCTGGAAGCCCAAAATCAAAACCTTCAACATAGCTTCAACATAGCGGCTATTCTCACCTCTGCCTTCCAGGCACGTTCTGTCTCTTCCATAATGTTCCGATTTATTTCACCATCTTGATTCTTGAGTCTATCCAGTTCCATTTCCCACACTTCTCTGTAAGGTAAGAAACCAAGAACAAGACTTAGGAGAGAAAGACAAGCTTGCTAAGGAACACCAAGGCAAAAGTAAAACCTGAAACTGGTCTACCTAGTATGTTAGAGGAAGTGTTACTCTAAGTATTAACTATAGATATATACAAATTATGTTTAAAGTGGTCTGAAATTGCATAATCACCCTATATTTGAAAGTAAAAATGTTCACATCTCCATTTGCTAAAATAAAGTTACCCAGAACAAAGTGCGTACTTAGAACCAAAACCCACTGAAGGCAGAATGTTCTTCTATGATCCAGGAGTGCTCAAATCAAAATGGCATTCCTCTGACTCCTTGTCTTTTGGTATGGGTACTGAAGAATGCAGGACTAAACCCAAAATACTTATCCCTAAGGCAGCAATCACTAATTCACTACTAACCACACAGATACTGGCTTACTGATTTTCACACTTCCTTAGCTATAGTAAACATTCTTCAAAAGGAAAAAATGTTGTCTTCATACCTCAGGACTTTTCCTTTCCATCAGTTTCCTTCATTCTTACACCAGCTCCCCAGCCCCATCCCTAGAGTGTAATATACACCCTTAGGATTAGGGTGACTAACTGCCCCAGTTTGCCCAGGAATGAGGGATTTCCCCGGATGTGGGGTGGTTGATCATTCTACTCAGGACTGAAGATGCCAACAAAGGAACAGAACCGGCAGAAGAATTTCCCTGTATTACACTTGACTGTAATGTAATGAGTTACATAGCTGAAAGCAACAGGATTACCCAGATCGGTGGACAGAATAGTATGGAAATGTGTACATTATTTTCACTTAATTTCTAAAATGTGAAAATAAGAAGAAAAGATTGGGAAGGATTCTGTCTTAAGAAAAATGTTCCCACTTTTCTACAGTGAGAGAAATAATTTTATTCATCTTCTGGTTTTTTTTAGTAACCTTAAATATAATATGAAAGGAAAAAATCCACTTAACATAAGTGTTTCAGGTCCCTTTTTTCATTGCCCAGTTCTCCACACACCCCTGGCTAGCTATTTCATAAAGTACAAGTGTGTATGTCTGTGTGTCTCTTACAAACACATTCATTTATTGATTCACTAACATCCGTCTGGCCCTCTGCTGACAAGGTCAACTCATGTAATAGATACAACTAGGAGGGCATATTCTTCCTTCATCTGCATGTGTTGTCCTCTCCAAATAAACTTCCTGCCAGAGGAAGAATTCTCTAATGGTTCTTTTATTTTTCCTTTCTCTAACAGTTCTTTAGACAAAGGTTTATAAGTAGATGTATTTTCCTAATACAGCACATATTTCTCAAGTGAAAAAATATATGAGGAGTCAGAATCCTCTTACCATAAGAATACGTGATATACGTTGTGGGGTCAATCAGCGGTCCATTTAGCCTACTAGACACTCTGTGACGATGGGATGATTGTAGGAAAACATGGCTGCTGCTTTCTGTGAATGATGCTGTTCTTAAAGACTATCGGTGTTCATCGAACACCTCTAACTTTCATTAAATTCATTTATCAACTAGGGATTACAATTATATTAGAAAAATACTGCCACGTCCACGGGGGACATCCCACAAATTCACACACAGAAAAATCTTCTTCTTTGGGCATCTGGCAACATCTGTATCCTTGGGATCCAACAAGACAAAAGGAACTACTAGCAACCACAACAAAAATGGTTAAGGAATTCTTAAACAGTCATAAAAATGGTCAGCCTTACCATACGTTCACTAGCCTGTAAGATATGTAAAAGATTTCACTTCACTAAGGGGTACTAACTGCAACCCATGCTAGAAAAAAAAAAATCAGTTGCCCATAGTAGATGCCCAAAAAATCCTTGATATAATAGAAACCACTGAGTATGTTTTAACTCTTTAAATGCTTGGCCTAATTTCTTTCAAGTCCCATGCTTCTGTTATTTTGCTTAGCTAGTTTAAAGAATCAATGGTTCCAATGAATAAATCCTACCAGACTGTACAAGTCTGGCTTGTCCCAATACGTTTGCATAATTTAAAAAATTAATTTTGCTTTTCATCATGTAAATAATACAAATTATAAAAAGTTTAGAAAATACAAAACAGAAAGAGTCTACTAATTCAAAAAAATACATGCAGGGGCTTCCCTGGTAGCACAGTGGTTAAGAGCCCGCCTGCCAATGCAGGGGACACAGATTTAAGCCCTGGTTTGGGAAGATCCCACATGCTGCAGAGCAACTAGGCCTGTGCACCACAACTACTGAGCCTGCGAGCCACAACTACTGAGCCCACGTGCCACAACTACTGAAGCCCGTGCACCTAGAGCCTGCACTCTGCAACAAGAGAAGCCACCGCAGTGAGAAGCCCGCGCACTGCAACAAAGAGTAGCCCCCGCTCTCTGCAACTAGAGAAAGCCTGCTCATGGCAACGAAGACCCAATGCAGCCAAAAGTAAATAAATAAATATAAAAAAACAAAAAACAATGCACCCCAATGTTCATAGCAGCACTATTTACAATAGCCAAGACATGGAAGCAACCTAAGTGTCCACTGACAGATGAATGGATAAAGAAGATGTGTATACACACACACACACACACACACACACACACACACACACACACAGGATATTACTCAGTCATAAAAAAGAATGAAGTAATGCCATTTGCAGCAACATGGATGGACCTAGAGATTACCACACTAAGTGCAGTAAGTCAGACAGAGAAAGGCAAATATTGTATGATATCACTTATATGTGATAAAAAGCTAAAAAAAAAAAGATACAAATGAACTTATTTACAAAACAGAAACAAACTCACAGACATAGAAAATAAACTTATGGTTACCAAAGGGGAAAGGGGGAGGGAGGGATAAATTGGGAGCTTGGGATTAACAGATACATACTACTTTATATAAAATAGTTAAACAAGGTCCTACTGTATAGCACAGAGAATTATATTCAATATCTTGTAATAATATATAATGGAAAAGAATCTGAAAAAGAATACCCATACACACACACACACACACACGTAAAACTGAATCACTTTGCTGTACACCAGAAACTAACACAACATTGTAAGCCAACAATACTTCAATTTAAAAAAAAAAACCAGAAAGAGCCTAATACAGAGGTCCCAACTCTTCTACCTACTGGTTGTATGACCCTTGACAAGTTACTTAATCTTTCTAGGCCTCAGTTTCTTCATCTGAGAAACGAGTAGGACCTACATCATGCGACTGATGGGAGAGTTCACTGAGAAAACACACATGAAGAATTTAATATGGTGCCTAGCCCATGGGAAGCATCCAACAAATTGCTCTACAATTACAATTGCTCTACCCACAAAAAAATCATTATTATACTTCTTTTCAGTCTTTTAAAATAAATTTGTATATTTATATATGCATATGTAACATATAAATCCATTATATACGCTTTTAAAACAAAAACTGTGGTTTTTATCTTACTTTTTCATCCTAATGTATTTTTCCATATCATTAAGTATTCTTCAAAACTGTGATTTTTAAATAACTATCCATTGTACATATATCCCATTATTGACTTAGGTATTCTCTTATTTTCAATTTCACAATTATAAATATTATAATGAGCATCTATCTGTGCATGTGTACTAACAGAGGTTAATGATAAAAGTAATTAGATTTGAGAGGAAGCTTCTCACAGCAGTTAAAAGCACAGCTTCTGGAGCCAAACTAAACTCACAGTTCAAACCCAGACTATTACTATCTACTATCTGTGCAACCATTGGCAAGTTACTTAACCTTTGCCTAATTTTCCTAAAGAAAAATGGGGATAATAAAATAATCTACTTCTCATACAGAGCTATTATGCAGGTTAAATGAGTTAATACATGCAGAACATATAGGACAGTCTCTGCCATATAGTAAGAACTTAAGAAATGTTAGTTATCATTTGGATGTTAGAGAAACTAAAATATGTGAATACATTTTTTCCACCAAAAGTGGTGGCAGCAATCAGGTGATTTTAATGCAGAGAAGCAGGTGATAAGTGTCTTGTGAAATATTCTCAACAAAGACAGAACTAAAAATTAAGATGTTGAGTCCTCAGCCGAAATACCTTCCTTTCAGAATATATTATACTCTAAACAAGGCAAAAGGAAACAAAACAAATACTGGTGGATGCGTTAATATAGATAGGAGTTGGCCGTCCTGAATTTGAGGTAGGTTATGAAATTCTTTTCTCTGAACTGAAGCTAATACAAACCAATATATTGGGTGGGCCAAAAAGTTTATTTGGTTTTTTCCGTAAGATGGGTCCAGTAGCGCTTAGTTGTCTTTAACTTCATTCGAGATAATTTTGTTAGGCTGTATTGTGACTGCTGTCATATCAGCATGCGTTTTAAAAAAAAACTTATCAAAATTGGTGAATTTTTGTGTAGCCATTTTAATACTGAAGATGGAAGAAAAAAAGCAACATTTTCGGCATATTATGCTTTATTATTTCAAGAAAGGTAAAAACACAACTGAAACCCAAAAAAAGATTTGTGCAGTGTATGGAGAAGGTGCTGTGACTGATCGAACGTGTCAAAAGCAGTTTGCAAAGTTTCATGCTGGAGATTTCTCACTGGATGATGCTCCGGCTGGGTCGGCCAGGTGAAGCGGATAGCGATCAAATCAAGACATTAATTGAGAACAATCAATGTTATACCACTTGGGAGAGAGCCGACATACTCAAAATATCCAAATCAAGCGCTGAAAATCATTCGCACCAAATGATTTTTGCACCACATCATTGGTTATGTTAATCACTTTGGTATTTGGGTTCCACGTAAGTTAAGCAGAAAAAAACCTCTTGACCATATTTCCACATGTGATTCTCTACTTAAACGTAACAAAAACGTTCCATTTTTAAAACAAATTGTGACAGGTGATGAAAAGTGGATACTGTACAATAAGGTGGAATGGAAGAGATCGTGGGGCAAGTGAAATGAACCACCACCAACCACATCAAAGACCGGTCTTCATCCA